TGCCAACAATATATTTGATGCTGTAAGAGACTCAAAACTAAGCCAGACCCTGCCCAAAAAGACAGAAATGGGGAATACTGACCGTCCTGGGGAGCTCAAAGGAAGGAATATTTAAGAGATTGGTTTGGTTCACTTCTAGTCGACATTGCAGAACAAATGAGTCTTTAGGAGGGAATACAGAGAGGTTGTTGGCTTGATGAACCAATATGGATTATGCATTATTCTGTCATAGGGGTCCCAATCCAGATCCTAGTGAGGTCAATAAAAAGACTCCCATTGATTTCAGGAGGTAGTATTGTGATTTGTTTCTCTGTCTTTCTTTTCCTCAGTTTCTTGACATCTATACCTACTGTCCTTCCTGCTAATTGAATATGATTGTCTGTCTCTAAAAAGATGTGTGCTTGAAATATGGGGAAAGCCAGTTGGCACTGGAGTATCTGCCAAATACTTATTAAATATTTTATTTATCTGAATGAATTTGTCCTAGATGGACTTTGTCTGACGTACTTGTTTCAGTATTAGATTTCACAATAAAGTACTCATAAATTTAAGGAAAAAATCAGTAACAAAAAATCTTAGAAGACTGACTTCTTAGCTGTAAAGAGCATTATGTTTTACTGAGACTTTTCTTGTCTCAATGGCTTGTATTGGTGAGCATTAATTTGAAGGTATATAAAACTCTCTCTGTAGGGAACACACTCCATGGCACCTTTGTAGCACATTTGTTTCTCTGCCTTAGCCAGGTTTAGGCTTCAGTGTTTTGTTCTGTCACATTGCTTAACCTAGATCAGATGCAGGAAGTCATAATTCACAGCTCTTTAACAGGAAACATATAGCTTTAAAAAAAGATAAAAATCTAACTTTGTTCTGCATTAAATTTATCCAAATTATTTTTTTCATTTAATTTTACTCAAGAACTAACTTGGAAATCTGTTAACTCAGGAAATGAAGCGACGACGTATAGCCAAACCGTTTTCAATGGAAAAGTTGCTGTATCAGATTGCAACAGCAGAAGCAAAAAAGGAAAATGGACCGACTCTCACTACAATATCAGCACTTCTTGGAGAGCTCAGGTAACAGAACAAGGAGTCTGTTTCACGTACCCTGTGTTTCACAGAGAAACTCTGAAGATGACACAGTTTAAGTAACAATCCGAGTCAAATCTAGCAGTCACTGACCCAGCAAACCTGCTTGAGTACAGCCAGGTGTAGAAGAAACTTCCTTGGCTGTATTTGATGCCAGAGTGCCAGTGGTTAGGATAACTTGCTGTAAAATAACATGCCTTTTGTAGCATCAAAGGGTTTATATAGTACAGCTATAGAGTATTTTTACATAGGACAAACCAAGAGCTTCTGTACTGGTGGCAATGTGTCATGCACTAGCAGTTGGATGGGAATAACTTCAAACTCCTTTTTTCTCCCTACAGTGATTAAGGAACCATATTTAGGGTTTCTCTTGAGGTAGGAAGGTTTAAGAAGGGGGGAAAAGGAAACGTGATACCATGTCAGCTGGTTTCCGATGTAATGATCTTCTCTTTTGTTCCCTACCATGTAGCATCGCTACCTATCTTTCAAGTTTGTGACAACTGGGTAGTGCTGGTCGTAGTACATCGAGTAATCAAGATGTCTGGAATCTACAAATTGTATTTAACAAACTAATATTAATATGTCACTGGAAATTTTCCAGATTAAGGGGGGAAAAAAAACCCCATACACAATTATTTGTATTAGTGTTCAGAGTGAATTACAAGAGGGAAATTTATTTTCAGGTGTGCTAGAACACGCTACCTGAAGCCAGTTCCCCAGTGGGACTAATAGCATCCACATGCATTTTTTTTTCCTTGAAGGGAAGAAAGTCTGCAATTGTGCAATGAGGAACAAAAATGTTAGTGCTTGCTGTTGAAATGCCATGTTGACTGTTATCAGAGTGGTTCTCAAACTTGTTCATATTCTGGATAACTTCTTGAGGTCGGGATCCTCTGGAGGATCTTGGTCATTCCTGTGCCTGCTTATGTGAAAAACAAAACAAAACTCTCGCAGCTCTGTTTAATCTGCAGCTGCGAGCAAGTTTCCCAGCCTGCGTAGACAGAGTAGCCCTACTTCTGCTTGAGCTAGCATGCTAAAAACAGCAGTGTGGATGTTGTGGCTCGGGCAGCAGCTTGGGCTCTCAAACCCACTTGATCCCCTGGGGCTGAGCTTGGGTTACTAGCCCGAGTCTCCGCTGGAGTTGCAACGTTCACAGTACTAGTCACAGCATGCCAGTTCAAGTGAAGCTAGCACAAATCTGTCTATCCAGCTGGGAGGCACGTTCCTAGCTCCAGTGTAGAAAAACCTAGCGTCTCCTGTTTGTCCTGGTTCTGGGCCTCTTGCTGCCTCCTCTGATTGCTCAATCTTCCCATTTGTTTAGCTTGGCCTCTGCCCCTTCCCCACCCCAATATCTTAGCTCTCTCTGAACCTGTGCTTAGTGTCTTCTCCCTCCCAGCTGCTAAGCTCATTCCAGACCTCCTCTCCTCACTCAAGCACAGCTCAGACCCACCCTCTGCTGTCTTCTAATGCCGCACAGCTCAGCGCAGGAGGTGTTGCACGCCTTCTTTTACACACAGTCTTCATTCCAAATGCGGTCTCCCTTCTCTTTCCCCTGGGTGTACAGCAAGATCTTTGTCTTTCAGCACAAGAACTGGGTCTGCTCCCCCTTTCCTTCCTGAAGGGCTGGAGCTCCCTGGGTCATCTCCAGCTCCTGGTGAAGGTAGCTATGCTACTCCTCCTGGCAGTAGTGGCTCCTCCTCATGGTGGCTCTTGGCAACTTCAGGAAGGGCAGGCATGTTAGCTGCTACTCCTGGCTCTTCACATGAGCCAGCAGCTCCCTTCTAGACTTTCAGGCAGTGCTCTGCTGTCTCAAGGATCTATGTATCGGTTTGAGAACCACTGGTTTGATACAATGGTTGCTGTTAAAATCTCTGACTGCAAAAGCACCTCCAGTCTTACTGTGATGTTGGCTGCATTTCCCGTACCAGGTCTAGGGAATAGCACCAACACTGAGATGACGCGAACGGTTTGGCTTTGTGTAATTAAGGTTTCAATGGCGATCATTGTATGAGATCTCCTGAGCATAGCTTTGCAGTGTTGCATGGGAGGTGCCAGCTTGCTAACTTCATAAAATATTCACAGGGACACAGAACTGAGGCAGCGGCGGCAGCTTTATGAAGCAGGCCTCCATTCTTCAGCCCGCTATGGGAGCCACGACAGCAGTAGCTCGGGGGTGGATGGAAAGAAAAAGCCTCGAAAGTGGTTGCAGTTAGAGACGTCGGAGAGGAGGTGTCAGATTTGCCAGCACCTATGTTACCTTTCTATGGTGAGGAAAACCCTTAGTATGCCTATAGCACTACTGACTCAGTAAACATTGCTTCAGCCTGGTTTCTATTAAACTGTAAGCGTTAGACAAACAGACACAATGGGCTTCTCTTCATGGTACATTAGTTTGCACTAGAGGGGTGCAAATTTTAGTGCACACTAGCATGTTGCATGCTAACTGGCCCATGTGGACCCTGCTGGTATGCGCTGAAAGTTCCCAACTGCACATTACTATAGTCCTATTTCAAACACTACTGTGTTAACATGCATTATGGAACTTTTTGTCCCTCCATCAGATTTGCCATGTACAAGTTAATGCACAACATGCCAGTGCGCCCTAGAATTTATATCCCTTGTGTGTGGACTAACACACAATGTAGCCCAGCAGCTGCAAAATCATATACTACAATACCAAGAGTCACACTCAAAAAAAGGTCTAGATTTCATTTTCCTAGAAAGAATTTGAATTGGGGGTTGCTAACTAATCCCTGGTGAACAAAGGGTAAACCTCAGCTCGGCTTCCTCCTCCTTGACTGAGTCAGCAAGAGAGGTTGACTATCTGTGTTAGGATAAAACTCAGTATTGCCAAGCAAGTATTCAAAAATCATGTGATTGGCTAAAAAAAACAAGGTTTTTAAAAAATAAATGTAGGGGTTTGGAGCCCTTAGGGTGCATTCATGTCACATTCTCAAGTTTTTCTCCGCAACTCCGAGAGCGATAAACTTAAGGTGGTGATGATGGTTTTTAAATTAAGCTGTGTTTCTCATGTAATCACCTGATTCCAGGAGGTAGGACTTAAAGAAAATCACTAAATAGTGCCAAACGTCCACACTATGGGTCCTAGGACTGGGCTGAACCCCAGATCTGAGCAAGTTTTCTGTTTCTCCTCCTTCCTTGTTTGGATTGGTTTCTTTGAAGGAAATTAAACAGCCTGTTGCTGTTAAAAATGAGCTTTCCTAGGCTGAACATGTTGGATTTTTAAACTCCCTCTGGACAAGGACTGGTTATGTCTGGTGGGCTAAACCGTGTTAAGCAGAGTTAGCCTGAACTGGCTTTATTCTGCTCTGAAAAATTACCATGCAAAAAATTACTCTCTCAGCAGATCTCCCATATTCCACCTCAGTAGCTCAGTTGAACAACAGAAATATATATTCTTTGGGTAGCACCTGTATAGCCTGTAATTCCGAGAGCGCACGCGACTGATTAAACTCTTAGTTCAGGGGTCAGCAACGGAATCTTTGTGAACTAAGTTCCAATTATAGGGCCAGAGTCTTAACTCATTTAAGCCAGTGAGGCTGTGTAAGTAAGGGAAGAGTTTGTCTTGCAGAATCTTTATTAATTTAATTAAGAACCCAGCTGATTTTCAGATGCCAGCAGGGCTAGCAGTTGTACAGTGATAGTTTTATTTTCAAACTGAGTAACTTTTATCTGAACTTGGAGAGAGACAGCAAATAGGGAACCCTAGGGTGCTGTTTTTTAGTTATTTTTCAGAGCAGAACCACGGTGTTACACTGTATTTAAAAGCAGTCCCCAGTTTTATCCCCATTCAAGACATGGTTTGAATTAATGGTAGAACTACTGTTCAAAGGAATTGCCTTGCAAGAAATTGTGACAATTAAATGTAAGATGCTGACAGAGCTGTGTACTCACAGTATATAGCTTGTCTGTTCATTATTACTGCTGGTTTTTTCTTATGTATATTATTTAGACTGCTAGTAGTATGCAAAATGCAGTAGGTACTTTTTCCTTCATCTTTAGCTCATCCCATCCTTCATATTAATCTCTTGCTTATCCTTCTGCCTCTGGCATGCAATATAGTAACGAAGGGCTGTGCTGCCCTCAGAGCCTTGTCAAGGCAGCTCAGCTCCTAACAGTATCTTAAAATTCTGTGGCACCTTTCATCCAGAGAGATTCCATAGAAACTTGCAACAATATCCTGTATTCAGCAATACCTCTGCCGCCCCAGGGCAGAATACATCTGTAGTTTAACACCACAAAGCATTAGTATCCTAGGGTTTAAGATAGGACGTGAACATTGCTGTATCCTGTTGGAACTGCAAGGGGAATTTAAGTAGCTTCAATGTAAACACACACTGGAATTTGTAAAGAATTTCATGGCAGCCCCCTCTTGGGAGAAGGGCTCTAGTGTAGCTAAACCCCTCAGATGGCCAGGTCTTCTGTTATGCTTCATCTCAAAGACTGGCACCTGCCACGGACCAGTATCTGTTAATGCTGAAATGGGGCACTGGGTGAGCAGGGCAGTTGAAGTGGAGGGGTCTCATTCAAACGCTGAGCAGGCCTTGGGTTATGATGAGCTCATATCTCAAGGTGGTTTGGCAGCAGGTGCACCTGTGAACATTTTTTTTCTCAGCAGTGGATGCAGCAAATCACTCGGACTTGTATTCTTTCCCTGGAACCAGGGAGATTCATTAACCTCCTCGTCTTCTTACAGACCTGGTATTTGTCCACGATGATGGCTAAATACTCAAATAAATACTTAGTTGGGAGGGGAAGAGAAGAAAGTCAGCACAGACTTTGTCCTTGTATTAATTCAGCTATCCCACCTACTCCAGTCACTTAGCACAAGTTCTTCTAGTCTCCCTCTCTCCTCCTGCTCGCCACCCCAGAAAAAAACCCTATTTTGGGTATACCACGTGTGTGAGATGTGACTGTGATTTGAATCATATTAATGTTTTCTATCTGTATTTTTGTTAGGTCGTACAGGAGAATGAAAATGTTGTCTTCTGCCTGGAATGTGCCCTCCGGCATGTGGAAAAACAGAAGACATGTCGGGGACTGAAAATGATGTATCGTTATGACGAGGTCTGTACAATATAGTTTGCATTCTTGAGGTTGGTGATGCCAGATGACCTCCAGAGTTGGATATTTGAGCCTAGACTTATTTCCTGGCTCCTGCCTAGTCTGACAGAGGCTCCAAGTACTCAGGAGAACTTGCATGCAATTTCTGGTACAGCAGGAATTTGCTTATTGTTGGCATTTTGGCCATCAAAACACTATAAGTAAAAAGAGAAAATACAAGATCACATCAGTTAGGAGAGCTGTAAGTCGTCACCTATAAAGGCGGAGAGTATTCGGGGGCAGGTGTTTATTGGGTTGGGACCCTTGTAAATTATAATGTACTTTTGTTTGTCAGTTTACAGTAACTTCAATACAAGCTCTCACTAAATTAAAGTAAATTTTGACTTACCATGAGGCCAGCCTGAAACTTTACTGGTAATCTTGTAGTGTTGGTGGATGGAGTCACAGTAGTGATTTGAGGCAAATTAGAAACCAAATCAGCACAATGCGATTCAGTAGTTTAGGTGTGATCCTGGAGAACAGAAGATTAACAATGGCAGCAGCAGAGCAGAGAGGCTGCTGGACGGGGGGCGGAGTGGGGGTGTTTTGGGAGCTGTACTTGTTCACACATCAAGAAGTAGTAGTTTGTTGTTAGCAGGACCTGTGGGTGGCAGGAGCAGCTCTGTGTAATCAGTCTTTCAGTGTCCGAAGCATTTTGAGACTCTGACCTTTCAGCTGTTTCTAACACATGGCTAGGGCTGCAGATTCAGCACTGTGATGAAAATATCATGGGGTAGCGTAACTTCAAATTTGAGTGAGTAATCCTGGCCCAATGAGGGGACTGGAGAGTGAGCCTGCTGTGGTGGTTCCTGACCTGTGGGTCTGGCCTCAGCTCCCCATTCCAGGCATTGCACCCTGGGGCGCAGTGCTACTCATGTCTTTCTTTAGTCTTGTTGCCAGATGCTCGACAAACTACTGTATTTATAGTTTGGCATTTTGTGCAGTGTCTCCTTTTTCATTTTCAGACTATTGTCTTTAAATTTGGTGAGCGGCTGAGCAGCCACTAGGATCATTTGAGAACCTTCTCAACCCTTACAGTTCTACGATACTGAACAGAACATCCCTGCCAGGATTCTGTTAATAGGGTTGCTTTTAAAACTAGTATCTTAGGCAGCTGGGAAAAAAGATACTAACTCTGTTGTTTTTTCCCTCTCTGAACAGGAACAAATAATCAGTCTAGTCAATCTCTGTGGGAAAGTCTCTGGTAAAAATGGCAACATCGAGAACTGTATCAGCAAGCCTACACCAAAAAGAGGACCTCGTAAGAGAGCAACAGTCGACGTGCCATCATCTAGGCTTTCATCCTCCAGTTCATCCAAAAGTGCTTCAAGTTAATCCTGAAGATGCCAACACTCGTTTTGTCGATTTATATATATTTTTTTGTAATTATTATACCATAGTTTGGAGTACTTGCTGTAGAATACAAGCTGTCTTTGCACTAGCTCTAAAGAAGATTTTCTTCTGGTTTTAGAGAACTAATTTTGTTTTAGCATTAAACTGTTGAATTTTTTTTTGTACTTAGGATAGTTATATACAGCAGTCAAATTTTTTTAAACTGCTGTATGTTCACTGTTTTAAAACCGGCAAGGGGGCTGATAAAATATTAATTTGTACTGTCCCTATGGCTGAAAAAAGCCTTTTTTGGTAACTGTGAAAAAAGGCTTTTAACCCATTTTTGAATAGGTTAAAGTTTGATGTGTTTTATAATTTGTTCTCCAGTCATGTGAGCAGATTTTCTAGAGAGAAAAGGGATAGGAACAAAACTTGAAAGAAATTGCTTTACTTTTGGCTGTCTCTTATTCTGTCACAGGCAAGATGAGTTTTGTAATTTTTTAAATTGGAGAATACACACTTTCTTTGGGAGGTTATGGCAGCTGAAGATGGACTTTGTTTCCTAACCATAAGCAAAATGAGGAGATTCGGAGTAAATATGTTCTCTTTTACCAGCACATCACTATGCATCTGTTTGAGGGAGGGTGGGGGGGGGGGTGGGGTGGGTGGGTGTGGGGGAGAGATGGAAAAAAAGACTGCCTGCCTTGAGGGAGTCAAATGAGGGAAAACTGTGCCTGATTTCATTAGGAAATCCATTCTGTTATTTTTTGGTGCTGTTGGCTACTTTATCAAAAACCCTTCAATAGCATCCTTTAAAAAATAAGTGATTGAAGCCATAAGTGCTTCTTTGTCATAGATGTGCAATCTTTCTAACATTCCATTTCCATTCCACTGCTGTTTTCCCCATCTCTACACAGTCAGCATTAATTTTTTATTTTGAATTTTTCATTATATGATCACATTTAGAGCCACTAGCAGGTCTGCATATTTCTTTTGAATGTGAAAATGCATTTGCTCTCATCTTGTCTATTTTTTCTCTTCATAGTGTAACAAAAAAAAAAAAAATCACATCTTTTGTATATATGCCTGTAAATTGTTTTAAATACTTGAGCCTTTTCTTGGGGTGGGGGGTGGGGTGGTATAGAGACAAGATGAAGAAAAGCCTTACGTTTCACTTTCTTCATCGGTTGGATTGGATGCTTACAGGGTTTTTCTTGTAACATTTATAAGTGCTGCTTACATCACTGAACAACAACAAAAAATAATAATGGAGTAGCTGTTGCCCTTTTCTGGTTGTGTGTACAGTATGTGTGGAATAAAAAAGGGAAAATGTTTTCACAAACTGTTTTGTTTCATAATTGAATTCAACAATACCGTAGCTACCCATATTGCACTGAGCTTGCCAGTGGTGACTGTCAGGAAAGTCCTATAATACAATTTGTTGGTTGTTGTTGCAGAAGACTGAACTGTTTTGGAATATTTAACAATAACATAAACAGAGTCAAGTGTTTTTTAAATGTGGTTGTCTGGTTTTTATGGCCTTGCTGTGTACTTTTCCCTCTTGACAGTAAACTTCTGACAATGGCTTACAGTTTGACATTTAATTTATTAGCGCTGCTCTGCTCTCTTTCCTTGTAAGGAAAGACTTCATGTTGTTTATTGCCAGTTTTTGTTTACTTTTCAGGTTTGTACTACAAGGTTTAATAAAAACAAAACTTTTTTTGGACACTTTGTCTGTCTTCTGGGAGGTGAGTGAGTGAAATGAGCTATTTTTTTAAGAAGGGGTTAAACTTTTCTTCTCATATTCATTAAATTGAAATAAGTTAACTTATCATGCAGAAGATTGTTTCCAGATTTAATTTCCACAGTGCTAAGACAGGAAACACTCTACCAAAAAGCAAGCAAAACAGCTGAATCCTTAGGAAACTGGCCAGTTCCCAGCGGGCTGGATGTGGGGACTACCTCTTTCCAAGCCACTAACTACCAGGAAGGAGAGTCTTTTGGAAGGTAATATCTGTCTGTTGCCAGTCACCTTTTATTTTTAGCTTCCTCAGGCTAGATTTCCCTGTCCCTCAGTGCAGGAGCAGCTTCATATTGATATGAGGCTCCTTAGGCCTCAAGGAGGGCAGATACACCCAGCTGTTTATGTGGACCTCATACAAACTTTGAGTTAAGTTACAGTGCAGTCATTTTTTTCCCCCTGTTAGCAAGATGTGGTCAAACTGAAGTTACTGTAGAACAGCAGATTTAGCAAAAAAGCAAAAGCTGCATGCTTAGGTTTTCTAATCATTAAATGATTCTCCCAAAATACCCATTATAAAATGAACTTGCAGAAAAGGTTTTGGTATAAGTAGGAAGACAAGGCTGGGATAGAAATACTTTATTTAAAAAAAGGAGCATGCTTATAACAATGCTAAGATGGCTGCTCCAGCAGAAGGGTAAGATTTCAATGTGCAACTCCCATCCCTTGGTAAGTATTTATTTCATTTGTAGCTAAAGTTATCCTCAATAAATTCAAAACAGTGGGGGTGCGGATGCTGCCGCATCAATGTTTTAGGCAGTATGTAAGGTGAATCTTCTATATTCAGCTACATAGCTCAAACATGCAGATAAGGAACATTGTGAGATCAGTGTTAAGGAATTTAAAGATTAGTCAAAGTATGCAATCTCCCTGTTAGTTCTATACACAGTATATACAAAGCTTGACTGCTCCAAAAACCCTCAAAACTTTAATAAAGTGAGTGGTTTAGGCAATTAAAAAAAATATCCACGACTGGCAATATTATAGACTAATAATGATCTGGCTTTCATGATTAGTTAACTAATTTCTACACCATGGGTGGAGTGCTTTGTTCATGTAAAAGTCAAACATTCTTAGAGGATATGGTGCTAGGATTCAAACAGTCTGAGAGTCACTTTCATCACTGACGTCTGAAGTACCTTTTCTTTCACTATTTACAGCAGCAAGGGCAGTATCCACTTGAACTTCCTCCTCATCAGACTGGATAACAGGAGACTCTCCTACTTCACTGGTATCCTGGCTGGCAGAGTCAGTCCAGATTGATGATGATGAAGACAATTTTTGCCTTAATTCAGACTGTCTTGGAACCTGAAGGCTTATTTCATTCTGACAGGTTTTGGATTCAGGCCCTTCAAAAAGTAAGGAAAGGAAAAAAAACAAACCCATTAAATCCATCTATTGAGCCGTAGTCTGTATGATATTGACGGGGGCTGATTATGCTGTTCTTAATGTTAAAATGGATCACTGTTCAGCAGGGTGGTTAACATGTCAGCCTGGATGTACTAGCACAGAGCCATTAATGCAATGACTGACAAGCCAACTGGTGGTCCACAACTGAGGCATTTTACACATCCACTCTATGGACTGCACTTCTCCATTTGTTTCCAGGTGTACTTTAAGATAGAGAGTTTGGTCTGTAAAGCCCAAAGTGGTTTGAGTCCTAGCACCTTTAGAAATTGTTTCTCCCTGTCTAAATCATGCAGATAATTTAGATCAAGTAGGGAGACTAAGCAAGAGTCACAGCTGAACTTTGTGCTGGTTGCTGGTGATGACCCTTCAATTCTCCCTGTAACGGTTAGTGATTCTGGTATTTGCTTTGGTATATGTGACCAAAGCCAATTCAGATTTCTGCATCTACTGCAAAACAATTTACTCACTGTTTGTATTGCATTAGCAGGAAGAGGCCACAACCAAGGGTTTATCTACACTGGAACACTAATTCTGAATAGCTTTGAAATGAATTAAAAGGGGCCTTAATTTGGTTTGAATGTCAACACAGGAGTTTAATGCAGTTTATATTCACAGCTTTAGTTCATTCAGATTAGCTTTTTTGAGTATTCCTGTGTAGCCCAAACCTAGGATGAGAGCCTCCTTATACTAAAGACAGTCTCTGCCCCAAAATGCTCATAAGACAAAGGATGAAAGAAAGACCGTAGTATTCACACATGGGGAATTAAGATTCATCCACTGTGTCAGAGGAAGTCTTTGAGATCTGGGTTTGATTACCAGCTTTGCCAGTCTCATGCTTAACAAAGCTATCCTTCCTCTCCACCCCTTCCTACAGAGAGGGGTTTTTTGAGCTGACAATTTTTAAAGTCTGCAGCAGAATTTCACCATTTAATACTTCAAGCTCCCCAAGGTAAAGCCTTAGCTGCAGTTATCTGTAAGTCTCCAGTAGATGGTTAAGGACAACTCAATAAGTTAAATAAGAAAAGAGGGATAGAACAAGGAAGGTTGACAGATAGTTATTGTGGAAGAGCTCTCTTCCCAGGGGCAAGAGGAGTGTTGTAGGATGGGAAGTGTTGCTTGGGGGCTAAAGTACATAGAATCATAGAATATAAGGGTTGGAAGGGACCCCAGAAGGTCATCTAGTCCAACCCCCTGCTCAAAGCAGGACCAATTCCCAGTTAAATCATCCCAGCCAGGGCTTTGTCAAGCCTGACCTTAAAAACCTCTAAGGAAGGAGATTCTACCACCTCCCTAGGTAACGCATTCCAGTGTTTCACCACCCTCATAGTGAAAAAGTTTTTCCTAATATCCAATCTAAACCTCCCCCACTGTAACTTGAGACCATTACTCCTCGTTCTGTCATCTGATACCATTGAGAACAGTCTAGAGCCATCCTCTTTGGAACCCCCTTTTAGGTAGTTGAAAACAGCTATCAAATCCCCCCTCATTCTTCTCTTCTGCAGGCTAAACAATCCCAGCTCCCTCAGCCTCTCCTCATAACTCATATGTTCCAGACCCCTAATCATGATTAGGCTCTCCAAATTTTAATGTAATAGTGTATGTTGGTCCCAAGCAACACTCTAAAGGGAGGTGGAAGAGAGAGAGAGGAGAAGTGCTGTTAATTGTTTTGTCACATGTCTGAGTCAATCTCCCATTGTCCTCAAATAATGCTCTGTGTTTTACGGGAACGTTTTAGTATAACCCACTTAACAGTAACTGAACTGCAAACCCATGAGTTTGTTTTACTTTTTGGAATGAAGTGGACTAGTACAGCAAAACTAATCTTCTAAAGCAGGAGTTCTCCAACTTCATGGCACTGCAACCCCCTTCTGACAACAAAAATTACTACATGAACCTGAGCCCTGCCACCTTGCATGGGGGGCCAAAGTGGAAACCCAAGGGCTACAGCCCTGGGCAGAGGCAGAGAGCCTGTAACCTGAGCCCTGCTGCCCAAGGCTTTGACTTTGACCACAGGCCCCAGCAACTCTAACACCAGCCCTGCTGACCCTATTAAAATGGAGCTGGGGGCCCCTGAGACCTGCTGTTCTAAAGCTGTACACATATGCACTTTCCTCCTGTACATAGCCAAATTTCCCATAGCTGTAACTCAAATCAGAGGTAGCAAGGACCAAAAAAGTAATGAAAACGTGTTAACCAAGACAAAATCATCCAGTTAGTACATGTGTATTTTGTAGTAGAAGAGGGGAAAATTCAGTGTCCAACTAGTTCAAATACAAAAGCAAAACACACACACTTCCCCACCCCCTACATGTAAAATTCCATACAGACAGACAATTCTGGAAGGAAGGAAGGAATTATAGGAGATGGGAGAATGAGGACTTTAGTTTAAAATGGTGCAGTGTGCTCACGTTCCTAGGCTAGAAAGTGTCCTTCCACATATTGCTCAAGCTCAGTAGGCACTAAACTGCTCTAAGGTTGATTCTTGCTGTCTCAGCTAGTCTCACAGAATTAAGTTAACACAACCAAAGAATAAGAAAATACATTACATAACAGTAGCACGAGGAGGCTGCAACAGAGAAGTGGAGTCTATTTTGCTAGGCACTAGGGCAGAGACTGTCTCTCTGTACAAAAAGCTTGCACTCCAGACAAAGGGTGGGAAGGGAAATGGTGGCACAAAGAGGGGAAGTGACTTATCACAAAGCAGGTCAATGGCAGACCCAAGAATAGAACCCAGATCTCTATAGTCCCAGGCCAATATCCTATCCCTTAGACCACGCTGCCTCTCCATGCAATACAATTTTGCTTATTTGTCTGCGCACAAGCTGACTTAGGAAGCTAATAACTGAATATGTAAAGAAAAACTGGAAAAATTTGCACTCAGTATGCACTAAGTTCTGGAACAGGCTCCTAACAGAACTCGTGCGGGCAAACAATTTAGTTTTAAGAGAGCATGTAGCCCATCAAGCTAGCTTTAGCATTTTAGTTTGCTTATCAGTAACACAAAGAACCTACAGGTTGCATCCTATAAGGCATTAGCTGAGGCCTATGAACTCTGGCACAGATAAGTGGCCAAAAGGTCAGCTTGAGTTTTGGGGAATTGGGAATAGTGTGCTTAAGGGGGAGATTCTGTACAAAACAATACCAGGTAACTACAGGAACAATGAACTTGGCTATTTTATTATAGATGCCTTGGTAACAAATTGATGTATATGGCAATAAGCTAAAATCATTAATATACTAACTAACCTATAGGATAAGGCAGGTGAGGAAGTTAAACATTAACAAGGAAGATGGACATTTGTATGAATATTTATGACAGACCTTAGGCCCTCTAATAGGCCAGACTACACTGTCAGGCAGAATCTGTACCATGGGACTCATTTGCCATGCCAGGGACACAGCAGGACCACCAAATCCCCAAGAAAGGGGGTGAGTATATGCGAGGAATGGTACAAGATACTAGTTTAACTCTATTTTTGCCACTTTTTATGTGGTTTGGAGCATGCATGTCTTTCCTAATTGTGTTAAAATAAGTGGTTAAAGCTTTGCGTTGCCCTCCACGTGAGTGTCATCATTGTTCACACAGATTCCCAACCAGCTATTGAATTTGATAACCTTGATTCTGGGACTAGAGTTCTACCACCCCCAGCTCTTCTAAATGGAAACCAATAATAGAATCAGTAACCCCTAAAGACAAATGTATGAGTGCAATTGTAGGACAGGGTAGTTTGGGATGATGGGGGGCAGGGCTCAGCAGCCCTGAGGGTTCCTTTGCTTCTGGTTTGTCTGATGTTGGCTGTCTGGTTCTTGCTCCTATGCTCAGAATCTAACTGATCGCTCTATGTGGGAGTCAAGAAGGAATTTCTGTACCTTCCAGGGATACAAAATATGTTAGTGGATCATCTCAGCAGATCCTTCTCCAACCACAAATGGTCCATTTGCCTGGATATTGTGAGAGACTTTTTCCAGAGGAGGGGAACTCTACAGATAGACCTATGCGCGACAAAGTACAATAGGAAGTGTCCACAGTTCTGCTCTTTTCACAGTCATCAGCTGGGCTTACTCACAGATACGTTCCTTCTTCCCTGGAAGGACCATCTTTTCTATGCATTTCCACCCATTCTGCTCGCGCACAAGGTCCTATATGGCAACAGGCTGAATATCCTGGCCTAGGCAGATGATCTGGCCCTCATTTCAGACAACTCAGAGAGTCTCCAACAAATACTCGATGTCACCAGCTGGGCTGCCAACTGGATGGGGCTCCACTTCAATGCTAGGAAATGTGCATCCCGCATATTGACAGCAGTAGAAGGGACTCAGTCCAGGCGACGCCGTTCCAGATCCAAGGTGAACCCATGATCTTCCTGGATGATGGGCACACCCACAGGTTTCCGCGTCCAGCAGACACCTGAGGATACCATTGCCAAGATCCTACAAGATGTGGCCAAGATCAACTGTTCCCGACTGGCACCATGATGGCAAATTAGTGCCTTGAACAGCTTCCTAATCCCCCGTATTTCATTTGTTCTGAGGGGATCTGCCATGGTGAAGGTACCTCTGAACAAGGTGGACAACACCATCAGGCAGCTAGTGAAGAAGTGGATGTTTCTTCCCCAGAGCACCAGCAATGAACTGGTGTACATGTCACACAGGAAGGGCCATGCCAACGTCCCTCGAGTGCTCTGCATGATGTCATCTGGAAGCGAATCATCACATACCTGAGTGGCTCCCTGGCAGTTGAATTTGGGAGAGACTTTGTTTCGCTCTGGACTTATCCCTGCAATGCTACGCAATGACTGGAGAAACATATCGGCTGCCACTGGACTTGGTGCAAGGAACGCCAGGAGCTGGGAGTCCTGGTGCCACAAGTGAAAAATGCAGAGCACACAATCATCACTCTGACAGCTAGAACCGTGCTGGAGAGGACCCTGAATGATGCCATCCCCTGGCAGTACGTGGAAAACCTGAAATGGAAGCCAGATCAGGGGAAGGCCTTCAAGGTAACATGCAAGTGGGACGCCAGCAACCACTTCCTCCTCGGGGGCAGCTTCACCCAATTTGCCGACTGGAAGTTCATCTACAGGGCCCAGCTCAACTGTGTCCCGCTGAACTGAGCCATCTGCCATGGGAATCAGGACAAGTGATACAGGAAGTGCGGCTATGCCAATGAGACGCTACCCCACATCTTTGTGTAGCGGCAAGCCCCATTCCAGAGCCCGGCAGCTGCACCACAATGCCATCCAAGATCGCCTTGTTAGAGCCATCCCACCACCTGTAGGGAAGGTGGCTGTGACCCCTGCCATCCCCGGAACAGATAGCCAACTGTGACCGGACATCACCAACAAGGACTAGAAGAAGATAGTCATGGTGGATGTCATAGTTCCCCTTGAAAACAGGACCCCGGCCTTCCACGATGTCTGATCTCGAAAGCTGGGACACCTTGAGAGCTAGGGGTTATGAAGTTCAAACTCACATGCTCATCATCGGAGCCCTGGGCCCATGGGAACCCAGTAACGAGCGAATGTTGCAAGAATGCAGAATTGGTCAGCACTGTGCTCGACTGATGCGGCAACTCATGGTGTCAGACACCATCAGGTGGTCGAGGGACAACTATAACACATCACCGGACATCAGCAATAACAGGAGAGATGAGCTCGAGTGCCATTGAGAAACAAAGTCAGGAAAGTAATTGACATACTTCCCTGATGGATTGTATTTTCTAAGGGTCAACCTATCCTAAATTCTCGAATACTGAAGGGCAATCTTCACTCATTGCTATATTTGCATTCCACAAGCTATTCTTAGTATAACCTTTCTGAGTGAGGTACCTGTTAATTGGATGCTAATACTTTAACTGTATCACTGAATTTATTAACCTTAATTTGGGATACTGCAGATTATGTACTATATGTATCTTATGACTTTCAAACCAACCTTTTTACTTTTGAATAATTTAAGCACTATATCCAGATGTACAGGCACTCTTTCTTTAACCTGTGTATTATAGAATGTTAGTTAGCTTTAACTTTTTTTTAAATCTGTAAGTAATTCCAATTCCAACTGTGACAAAATGTTAATAAATGCACAGACTAGATGACACTTTAAAACACAACCCTCTGAATTAAGTTTCAGCAATAAGGATTTAGACACTTCATGCTAACCAAAGGAAGTAACAGTGTTATGGGAGTAAGTGTTTTTCATATCCAGGGCATACAACTAATCTTGACAGGAGAATTAACTCCAGGAAATTTCACACACACCCCCTTCCTCCAATACATTTGTGACAAACTTACTCTAAAGTAGAGGGTGGTTTCAGACAATCTTTTACTTTCACTATCAATACATTAAGTAAAACACTTTCTTTCCTCTGAAAATGCAGGTTGAATATCATTAGGTTTAAAGTCAGTTATTTTTGACACCACTTTTCCTAAAAACTTCTGGCTTTGATTTTTTTTTTTTCTTTTTTTTGGAGGAAGGAATTTTGGTGAGAACAAAAATTTTGCAGCCTGTAGGACAAAATTTTAATGTACAGCAACTACTTGAGGTGACCAAGTATCTATAATCTCCTGCAACCAACAGCTAGACTGCTCAGGCATGCTACAGTAAGAGGTCCCAGTACATCTCCATATATCAAGGTATGTTAAATCACACTATCTTAATATATTTAAAAAATTCACAAAGGATATAAAATAATGTAATTGCTTTAGAACAGGGATTCTCAAATTTCATTGCACCACGACCCCCTTCTGACAACAAAAATTATTACATGGGGTTGGGGAGGGAGAAACAAAGCCTGAGCCTACCCGAGCCCTGCCGCCTCTAGTGGGGGAGCCACAGTCCAAGCCCCACCACCCAGGGCAGTGGGGCTCAGGCTTCAACTTTGGCCCCGAGCCTCAGCAAGTCTAACATGAGCCCTGGTGACCCCATTAAAACAGGGTTGTGACCCACAGTTTGAGAACCGCTGCTTTGGAATACCAAGTCAGTACCTGAAAGCGAAGAGTACCTGAAAGCGAAGAGAAACTGAGTGAGTTTTGATTTAAGGGGAGGAATGGCAGCATTCCTCAGTTTTTAAGAGAAAAAAGTTTACAGCACTACCTGTAACATGGCTCAGATAAACATGGATCAAAGAAATATATTTTATAAGCTACTTACTCTCTGAATAAATAAAACCAGAGTACAAGCTGAACAGAGTACCAGGTCATATAAAGTAATTCTGAATGTCTCAGTCCTACTGTAAGTTATTCTCTTCAAATTAGTAAAGTAACATACCTGAATACACCAGTGCACAGAAACTCCAGAAAAGCAATCATTTAATGCTGAGTTCCAGCCCAAACATCTCCCTGTGAGCCTTGACAGAGACTACATCTTTGAGCAACTTTTGTGATGAAAGTGGTCATGGCTTGCTTCAAAATGACAAAATTCAAGACTAATTATGGGAAAAGTATTCTACTTAAAAAAAAAAAAAAAGCTTAACTACCACAAAGAAATTCAACAATAACAGCTTTTAACAGTTTTAAGTTCAATGGGTTTATATATATATAATTAAAATGCCAATTGACCACTTTTTTATATATATATATATAATATATATATGTAAAGCCAAAGATCCTGTAAAGTAGATTCTTTTCTCACCCTAAAAAACAAAAATGTACAAGTCATCTAACCCCAAGACACACAGAGGGATGTCTAGGGCCAGAGGAAAAAAAAAGGTCTCCTGGAAAATCAAGCAGCTTTGCAGTAAGCTCTTATGCATCATGACTGAGGTTCTGTAGGAAATACTAACCTTTAGAGAACAGATACAGTATGAAACACTATACATTCTAGATTAGAGTCCTAGTGATTTATTAGTGCAAGCACAACTAGATAATTTACAAGGCATGCCCTAACTGTTCATTTCATACCCAACATGGGAGATAGTATGCTATCGTCCTCTCCTCCTGAGTTCAAGAAGACATCCAGTGCTTCTTGGTCAGACATGTCCATCAGGTCCATCTGTTCTAGCATGTCCACATTCACCTCCATGGAAGACATACTTCCTATTGGCTCTGCAGCAACAAACAATATAAGTGAATTGACAATGCAGCGCATGTTCTAGGCAAAGACCATCAGCTTTGTAATGTTTCAGAGTAACAGCCATGTTAGTCTGTATTCGCAAAAAGAAAAGGAGTACTTGTGGCACCTTAGAGACTAACCAATTTATTTGAGCATAAGCTTTCGTGAGCTACAGCTCACTTCATCGGACGCATTCAGTGGAAAATACATTGAGGAGATTTATATGCACACAGAACATGAAAAAATGGGTGTTATCATACACATTGTAAGGAGAGTGATTACCCAAGATGTTATTACAAAGGCTTCCACAATTGCCACATTACTGTACTGCATCCTTGACTATTAAACAGCTATTCTCAAAACATAAATATTACATACATTGACAAACAAGGAAACTTGATTATTGATAGGAAACAGCTTTGGTAATCACTTAGAAAGACAAAACAACAAGCTATTCTCTTGGTAACAATACAGGTTACTGTATTTACAGCTTTTTGATATGAATTATAAATAGCTTCTCAGAGGCAGTCTCGGAACCTACAAAAGCAGGATAGACTTCTTTGTTTCTTGCTCTCATTGTTTTAGAACAGGCTGCCCTCATCTTTGCAAAAAGGTATTTTATTAGTATTAATATTTGTATTACTAGCACCCAGAAGCTGGGGGGACAGCGCAGCATGGATCAGCATTCATATCACACTCTCCCTCAGTACCCGGCCCAAACTGGGGAAGCTAATGATCCAACCAATGGACCAAACTCTGTGATGAATCCTGGTCAAATGCCACCTGAGGCACGTTGCGCATATGCTGAGAAGAACAAAAAAAAAAAAGACAACTCAGAAGCCACAATAAGGATCAGTGTCCTGTCATGCAGGTGCTATAGGAATGCCTGTGAAGAGACAGACCTGCCCAAAGGTGCTTACTAATCCAACCCTTTTCTTCTTCCGGTGTCACAACTCTATTCCCCAGCTGCACGTTTAACAAAAACCTCTCAAGAAAGAAAAAGTACAAGACTGGACAAAGTATTAACACACAGGAGTTGTGAAAATGCAAGGAAGAGTTGTAATTCTCAAAAGGCAGGTGTTCTTTCTTCCCATTTAACCCACCCGTGTGATCAGTGGTAGCAGACAGTAGTGCAGAGCCTAAACCAAGGTTGGCGATACTTACTGACTCTCCGAGCTGCATATAACAATCTTCAGAAGTTCAAGAGCTGGGGCAAGCCTGCCAGGGCTCGGGGCTTCAGCCCTGTGGGTAAGGGGGTCTCAGGGCTTCAGCCCTGCGGGAGGTGTCTGCCCAGGCTTGGGGGCTTCAAACCCACTCCTACTGAAGCCCTGAGACCCAACAGGTGTGCCCCACAGATTTTTGCCAGGGTTTGCTGACCTAGCTCAGTCACATGGTGCTGCTGAGCCCACTCCCTGCACAGAAGCTGCTGGAGCCAGCAAGCTGGGAGCTGCAGAGAGCCACTCCTTTTGCTGCTGCCTCTCTCCACGGAGCTAAAGCAGCAGCCCCTCCCTGCAGCTCCCATTCCATGCAGCACTCAGAGGGAGGGCGTGACTCAAGCTGTTGGGGGGGGGACCTTTAAATTGTGTGTCCCCCCCAACTCCGCCCCACTGTCAGGAGGAACCAGTCATCTCTGGCAGAAATCCCTAGCCCCACCACCCCGCTGGAGGGCAAAAGCCTCACTTTCCTCCCATCCAGTCTGGTAGGTGGAGAAAAGGGGGGTGGGGCTCTGCAAGCCACATTTTAACTGTAAAAGAGCCACATGCAGCTTGCAAACTGTTGTTTGGCCACCCCGACCTAGACAAATGTCCAATGTATTGTCCCATATGGAGACTTCACACCATTAAAGACAAGTGCAAACTTCCGATTAGTAATAAACATATTTAAAAATGTACAAGTACTTTCAGTTGCCCCCAAAAGAAGCTTGTTTTGACTCTGCCACAATTATAGTACTTCAAATATCAAAGATTAGTAATGACTAAAATGATCATTTTATAGCTTTCATATGAACTCTTATTTACCTTTTGTTTTGCAGTAAAACTGACTATATAACAGGTAAGCCAAAGAAATACCTTAAGTATGCATATTACTAAAAGTCTCAAACAATGCTAATGTCAGTGTGCAAATGGAGATGCAACCCTACTCCTTCCTCTGATTACTTTATTTTCCAAGTACAGGATATATCCCTGTCTTTCACACCTGCAGCATAGTAAAATACTGTACTCAGCAATAATTATGTTCTTCCTTGACTAGCGCTGGTACTGCATTATAAAACAAAGATAAACATAAAAAGATATACCCATTTCTCTCCGATAACATACTGCATTGCTGTGTTTACTTACTGTGCACTTTACTAATAAAAGTCAAAATAAAACCAAGTGCAAAAGGAAACCAAAACAATCCTCTCACTAGCCTTCTAGTTGTGGGTCTATGGATTAAGTGGGGGATATTTCAAAACTTGCCTCTTCTCTCCGCTATCTGCAGGTATCCTGTAGAAAGGTATTGCTCCATATCCTGCTGGAAGGCTTCTTCAAAGAACTTCTGACGCTCCTTTAGCTTCATCTGCTGGGTATGCTCCATATCCAAAACCTTCTGGGCATGCTCAGCATCTAGCTCAGCTGAGGACCAACAATAAAAAAGAATATACACCATTAAAAATATAGAAACATCTGTAAGTTTGCTTTTAACATGACTTATCAGAATCACACCAACAAATTATGTTAGTATATCTTCTCAATCATACACACTCGTATTTAATATAGTGTGAATACACAAAAAAGAGACCTCCTCCCCTTGACACATTCTGTCTCACTTTTAGGCTATTTGTAAAGAAAAGTACACATTTCTCATTCAACCCAACAGTTCAAATTCTATGTACCTCATCTGACACACAACTGATCACTCATCACAGTGACTGAATTTTAAGACCCATGGATAAATTAAGATTGGATTACACAGGTCTGAATCTCTATGTACAGTAATGTATAAGGGCAATAATGATAAGATGTTATAGCATCATTTCTGCACTTCCTGAGTATTGGAGATAGTCTGCTTTCAAAATCATACCTCATCACTCCCATAAGGCAAATATGATATACTATGAGATAATATAACCGGATGCCCCAATATTAAATGGATATAACTCCGTATTTCTTGGAATGAATAAACTGAAACACTTATTGATATAGACTTCAAATAATGACAGTGTCAGAATATTGCTGAGTAAAATTAGCAATGATGATGTTATTATGCATATTTAATAAATAAACTCAAGATGCTAGTCTTCATTTTTGTGTCTGTAGAGCACAGCTGAAACAAAGTTTCACACTTTGAAACTTCAAGGTAATGATACCACATCAAATAAACTGTCAGCTATTCCCCATTCTAACAGGATAAGAAAGTACACTTCTTATAATTCTCAACAAAAACTTAGTTCAGATACTCATGGTTGAGATAATACATCATCATATTAGTAATGTAATTGAAAAGAAAAATTAAAGGTTTAAAGGCTGGACACTCAAAGTCAGATTCCTGCACCAACCTCGACCAACCTTGGAGAAATCATATAGGAGATCCAGAAAATTAATCCTACTTGTCACCAGTGCTCTAAGTGTGCTCAAGATTTGGAACAAATGGAAGAGGAATGCTTGAAACCTCCCAAGTTTTCAGACATATAGCTGCTTTGAAGGATACATCTAAGAAAGATACATGAGACACGCCATGAACAAAGGCAGTTTAACATGCCTTTCTGTACAACCATGGAGAACCTTCATGTGGCAAAACCCCTGTGGTTCCACTAAACACAGAGTGGGTCAGAATATGAAGAACCTATGAAGATGTACAGATCCTGTGTACTATGGAGCCAAACTACATGAAGGCTCCCTGTGTGCCACAGTGCATTGTGTATCTGTAGGAGAGGGCAATGGACTACATTGCACGAAGCAATTCCCTTGGGCATGCTGTGAGTGCAAGTGGTGCATAGTCCATCATATGGCTGAAGTAGCGATTACAGAGTGCAACTGCTGCCACTGAACGGTCAACTGTGGAAAAAGTTTGTGATTCTGGCTGTGTACAGCAGCCAGGATTTAAGTATTCGAGAATTCATACCTCAATTGTTTCAGGTTACACTTCTGCAGTATGGGTTCAGGTGAAAAAAATGGAATATTGTCGACAACATTTGAGAGGTTATTCACAACCATAAGGGCTAGAAATGTAATTTGTTTTTAAAATAAAAAACAGATTCTGCAGAAACTGTTGGATGAGCTCCCTACACTCCAGGAAATTTTTCTGTTTATTAGTGCATGAATTTGTCAAGTCCGAGCTATCAGGATAGCAGAAAGCATGGGGGTAGAGTGGTGTCTAGCATCTGTTAGGAGGGTGCTTAGAGTACAGTGGGATGGCTGTCTTGCAGTATGATGGTGGATGAGGAAAAGGTGCTCCCCGGGACTGTGTACAGAACCAAAACCAGAAATTTGTAATTTTCCTAACATTAGTAAGAAGGATCTAGCGAAGGGTCAAATATTAGTCCCAGATGCATTAGATTTGGTTTGGTTTGTAACAGAAGTTTGTAAGCTAGTATGTAAAGTTTTAGCAGGGCAGTTAGTGTCTGATCTGCTTTAAAGGTAAAAGAGGATGAGGTTGTAAAGGAAATATTTTAAATTACAGGTAAAGATGTGAGGAGATACAAGGGCAGAGTTAAAGTACATGCAGGAAAACTATAAGATAGCTTTGATTTAACTGAAGTGTTTTTTTAAAAATAACATTCTATTGTCTTTTTTATGACAAATATAACTTAATTAAGCTAGAATGTCAAGGTTCTTTGTCTTGAAATTTCCTCTCTCAAATAGAAAATTTCATAAATGTGGAAAGTGCTGTGCCAGCTCTTGCCCAGTCTGTAGGTGTCATCTGAGCACTTACAAACTCATAGCTGGAAACTAAACCAGCTCTTCTGTACATTACATTTGTTCAAAACAGGTATTAGTCTTATAAGAATGTATCAAGTGTTTAGACTCTGAAATGCTTGTAAATTGCTCCAGGCATTAATCTCACTTGTCATGCCTGTATTCCATGCTATAAAGAAATATTAAAATTTTGCTTTATAACTTTGAAAAGTTTGCTCTGAACCTGTGAACTCAGGCATGAAAATTGTCCCTCCTCCCCATTCAGGAGGCCTATGAAGATTAAACGGCCTGTTAAGGAACATCACAATACAAAGGATTGGTGAATGGCCCTATCAACACCTTGGAAATGCTACATGCAAGGGAGCTCATGTACTGGACGGCTAAATAAAACAGATAAAATAGGGTCACAAGAAAAAATTTCATCTCTTTGCTATTTGAACTCACAGGGCCAGAGACACTAAACTAAGGCAGAGTTCCCCAGGGGTTACCCCTGGGTCTGCCATGAAAGACATTTTCAAACAACACATTACTACATCTCTGTCATCTTGCTGGCGTTAACCTGTAAATAACTCTCTCACTTCTTATTCCTAATTAATAAACTTTTATTTAGTTTATTACAGGATTGGCTACACGCATTGTCTTTGGTGTGAGATGTAAGATACAAATTGATCTGGGGCAAGTGACTGGTCTCTTGGGACTGGGAACAACCTGAATATTTTGTTATTTTTGGTGCAACCTGAATATTGCATGACCATTTATCACTAAGACCAGCTTGTCTGGGTGGCAAGATAGACTGTAGAGCCTAAGGGAACTCTCTGTGACTCTATACTGGATTGGTGAAATCTAATTATAGAACATATCGCCAGTTTGGGGTGTCTGCTGTTTTTGACAGCTTGCCCTGAGGTAGGCACTCACAGTCATGAGCCAGTCCAGACAGCATGACAAGCACATTGAAAGTGCTAAATTTTTCCATTCTTTAGGATTATTTACCTATGCCCATCAATATTAGGACTTTAGTGAGGACTTCAGCTATTTTAGGCAGAGTTTATAACTTCTTTGAGGGTGCTCTAGCCATTTTAATGGTAATTATAGAGACCACTACAACATACACACTGTGTAATACTATATCATACCCCTTGGTATCAGCATTCACTGTTCTAGTGTGTTAGCAATACATTTAGTAACTGAAAATGCAAACATCTGGATCAAGGTGATTAACTGATACTAATGACTGTGAGAAGCACCACAAGAGAATTCAGGGATCTTACACATCTTACTGGAGAAAATGTCAGGAGACGGATGCGGACTTTTCTAATGTATAATCAGTTGACTGTTTCAGGGTAGCTATAATCAGCTACTTTAATATTTAAAGCTACAAAACCAGAGCTCTGGTTCACTTACTAAAAGCCTTCTAAAGATGCATTTCCTTCTATGATGGAAATAGTAAATCAACAAAAATTTCTCCCCTACAGAATCCTGCGTATTCCCTCCTTTGTGTTTCCCAATCTTCTGGCAACCATCTTAGAGGATACTTATCTTAAAGTAACTGGAGGTGTTTGAGATGCCTTGGTCTACACCGTAGGTGTGTGTGCCCCACACACAGAGCCAGAATCTTTGAGCCAGCACTGTCTATTGGGACTGTGCATTCAGCCTGAATGCCCTCAAATCCCATCCAATGGGCAGAGCAGCAGCAACTGCCACTCAGATCCTTCACAAATACAGATATCCAGGTAAAGAACTTTGTAGTGAGAACAGGTCATAGGATCCATGTGGACAAAGGCATCTTGAGAAAAAAAAAACGTTACTTGACTGTATAGTAACCGTTGTTCTTCAAGGTGTGTTGTGAACATATATATTCCATTGCAGGTGTAGTGCACCCAATGCATATGAATGAGACACTTGTCAGCACTATCATTAGGCAGCACATGTGCCCATGCTCTCCTCCTGCAACTGTTTGAGGGCATAAAAGGGATGTGTTTGCCATTTCCCTCTCCATTCCTTTGCATCACTATCTAATGTCTGAAGTAGTGGGGAGGTGGAAGAGTAATGGAATGCGTATGTGCACAAAATCTCAAAGAACCACCATTACTGTATAGGTAAGTAACAGGTTTTATTCCTTTGCATGATGGTATATATAAATTGCACTCCAGGTGTTACGGATGAGGGGTTCAAGGTGTGGGAGGGGTCTCAGGGTTAGTGATGAGGGTTGGGTGCAGGGGCTGAGGGCTCCATCAGGGGGTGAAGGCTCTGGAGTGGGGCTGGGGATGAGAGGTTTGGGGTGCAGGCTCTGGAGTGGGGAGAAAGGACTCCCCCAGCCCACCACAGCAGCCTGGGACCAGGAGAGAGGCACCTCTCCCCAACAACTTCAGTGGGGCTGGGCTAGGTCCGAGAGAGGGGTTCCTCTCTCCCAGGCGTGGCAAATCCGGGACAGGTCCATGTTGGGACCAGGGGAGGGGCGCCTCTCCCCGCCACAGCCCTGAGCCCCTGCATGGGGCTTAATACGCGGCCGCACAGTTTAGAGGGAATTTAGCTGTGTGTGAGATAGAGACACGGGCAGTGTGTGCGCACGCTGGCTGCTGGGGAAAGCCATACACTCTCTTCCAGACACTCACTGAAAGCACTCCTGCTCTGTTCTGAGGCCTATTGTCTCCCCTTCCCCACTTTGCAGAGATGGGGTACATGGGCGGGGGGGGGGAAGGGGGGAGGGACTGACTGTG